AAGAGAGAGGGAGAGGTCGAGATCGAAACATCAATGATATGCAAGAGAATCATTGATTGGCCGCCCCCTTCATACCCCCTCCCAGGAATAGACCAATAGACCAGAACTGAACCTTGACTCCTAAATCATAGATCAGCTGGGCCCTGCTTGACTATATATATACACACAGTAGGTCCTCGGGTTACGTCAGAGATCCGTTCCTATGACATAACGCGATTTTGGCTGTAAGTCGGAACCCACCTACATAAGCACCTATGTCACTCACATGGAACACATACACAGCCATAATGAAGTGAAACAGTAAAAAAAATAATAAGAAAGATAACAGCCGAAGCCGGTTTGGCTCAGTGGATGGAGCGTCGGCCTGCGGACTGAAAGGTCCCAGGTTCGATTCCGGTCAAGGGCATGTACCTTGGTTGCGGGCACATCCCCAGTAGGAGATGTGCGTGAGGCAGCTGATTGATGTTTCTCTCTCATCGATGTTTCTAACTCTCTATCTCTCTCCCTTCCTCTCTGTAAAAAATCAATAAAATATATTTAAAAAATAAAATATATTTTACTGATTTTTTGGAGAGGGATAGAGAGCCAGAAACATCGATGAGAGACATCGATCAGCTGCCTCCTGCACGCCCCCCAGTGGGGATGTGCCCGCAACCAAGGTACATGCCCTTGACCGGAATCGAACCTGGGACCTTTCAGTCCGCAGGCCGACGCTCCATCCACTGAGCCAAACCGGCTTCGGCTGTTATCTTTCTTATTATTTTTTTTACTGTTTCACTTCATTATGGCTGTGTATGTGTTCCATGTGAGTGACATAGGTGCTTATGTAGGTGGGTTCCGACTTACAGCCAAAATCGCGTTACGTCTCGCCATAGGAACGGATCTCTGACGTAACCCGAGGACCTGTCATAGGAACGGATCTCTGACGTAACCCGAGGACCTACTGTGTGTATATATATAGTCAAGCAGGGCCCAGCTGATCTATGATTTAGGAGTCAAGGTTCAGTTCTGGTCTATTGGTCTATTCCTGGGAGGGGGTATGAAGGGGGCGGCCAATCAATGATTCTCTTGCATATCATTGATGTTTCGATCTCGACCTCTCCCTCTCTCTTTGAAATCAATAAAAATATATTTAAAGAAAAATGTCAGCCCTAACCGGTTTGGCTCAGTGGATAGAGCGTCAGCCTGCGGACTCAAGGGTCCCAGGTTCGATTCCAGTCAAGGGCATGTACCTTGGTTGGGGGCACATCCCCAGTAGGTGCAGGAGGCGGCCGGTCCACGATTCTCTCCCATCATCATGGATCTTTCTATCTCTCTCTCCCTCTCCCTTGCTCTCTGTAAAAAAAAAAAATCAATAAAATATATTTTTTAAAAAATTTCAAGCAGGCCAGGTAGCTCAGTTGGTTAGAGCATCCTCCAGGTATGCCAAGGTCGGGGGTTCGATCCCCAGTCAGGGCACATACAAGAACATGAAGCAACCAATGAGTGCATAAGTACATGGAACAAATGGATGTTTCTCTCTCTCTCTCAAGTCAATTTTAAAAAGTTAAAAAAACAATAATTTCAAATTTGAGTACCCCCATCCATGGGAACAAAATTTTTTTTATATATCTTGCCCTAAGTGACTGCTGGGCAATAAGTCTTAAGATAAAGGTGTCTGATGTTCAATTACCACTAACTGTGCAAGTGAAGCCTCAGTTTGCTCCTTAGCTAACACAGGACGCCTGCCTGCCCAGGTGGCTCATTAACTTCCCTGAGGGCCTTCACATGTCGGCCTCAGGTGGTTATCAGTTCAGCCAGCACAGGTCCCGATGGTCATAGACTAACTTCAGCCAATGAAATTGTTCCTAAAACCAGCTGCGGAGAGGAAGGGAGAGGGAGAAGGAGTTAGAAACATCTATGACAGTGGTTCTCAACCTTCCTAATGCCGCGACCCTTTAATACAGTTCCTCATGTTGTGGTGACCCCCAAAGCCTGGAGGGCTAGGATTCCTCTGACCGGCCCTGCACCCCCACGGGGGAGAGGCCAGCCAGGCTGGGAGCTTCCTGCCAGGGTCTGAGGTCAGAGACATGAGGACACAGCTGCTCAGGAAGTTTCCCAACCCCCGTGCGCAGGCCCCAGCGAAGGCGTGACTGTGGCCATGGGACTGGGGGCCCTGGGCTGTGGGAGGAGCGACCAGCTGTAGTCACAGCCCAGGAGGTGCTGTATGACTTTATTTCTTTGGGCCTCTTTTTTGTTTTTGATATATTTTTTATTGATTTTGAGAGGAAGGGAGAGAGAGAAATGTCAATGAGAGAGAAACATCAGTTGGCTGTCTCCTGCCTGCCCCCTACTGGGAATCAAGCCGGAAACCCAGGCATGTGCCCTGATTAGGAATCGAACCGAAAACCTTTTGGTGCATAGTGTACGGGATGACGCTCCAACCGAGCCGCACCAGCCAGGGCTGTTCTGTGATGTTGCTTTTTTCTTAATATATCTTTATTGATTTCAGAGAGGAAGAGAGAGAGAGAGACAGAAACATCAGTGATGAGAGAGAATCATTTGCCTCCTGCACGCCCCCTACTGGGGATGGAGCCCACAACCCCAGCATGTGCCCTTGACCAGAATCGACTGCCTGCTGCACGCCCCCTACTGGGGATCGAGCCCGAAACCCCAGGAGTGTGCCCTTGACTGGAATCGAACCTGGGATCTCTCAGTCAGCAGGCTGACGCTCTATCCACTGAGCCAAACCGGCTCGGGCTTTATTGATTTTTTAGAGAGAGGAAGGGAGAGTGGGGAGAGAGAAACATCAATGATGAGAATCATTGATCAGCTGCCTGCTGCACGCCCCCTACTGGGGATCGAGCCCGAAACCCCAGGAGTGTGCCCTTGACTGGAATCGAACCTGGGATCTCTCAGTCAGCAGGCTGACGCTCTATCCACTGAGCCAAACCGGCTCGGGCTTTATTGATTTTTTAGAGAGAGGAAGGGAGAGTGGGGAGAGAGAAACATCAATGATGAGAATCATTGATCAGCTGCCTGCTGCACGCCCCCTACTGGGGATCGAGCCCGAAACCCCAGGAGTGTGCCCTTGACTGGAATCGAACCTGGGATCTCTCAGTCAGCAGGCTGACGCTCTATCCACTGAGCCACACCTGCTAGGACCTTTGGTCCTCTTTCAAACCGGAGGAGTCACCTGGTGGGTTAGCCAGAGTCTTCCCTGCTGGTAAGGGCGTAACAGCTTGAACTTGGGGGTTTGGAAATCACCGCTTTCCAGCTGTGCTATGAGGTCACACAAACAAACAAACAACAAAAGCCAAAGAAAGCAGAGCTAAGGGATTCCTGAAGGCTGTAGCCAGGCCCATCCCTCGACTTTCCTTGTTCACAGAGTTTTTTGTTGTTGTTGTTCTTAATATATTTTATTAATTTTTCACAGAGAGGAAGGGAGAGGGATGGAGAGTCAGAAACATCGATGAGAGAGAAACATCCATCAGCTGCCTCCTGTACACCCCCCACTGGGTATGTGCCCGCAACCAAGGTACATGCCCTTGACCGGAATCGAACCTGGGACCCTTCAGTCCGCAGGCCGACGCTCTATCCACTGAGCCACACCGGCTAGGGCCACAGAGAGTTTGGAAAATTCAGATCTACTCACTCATATGTGGGATCTAATTAACAAAATAAGCTGGTGAACGGAGTGGGCCCAGAGACATGGAACAGAGTCTGGAATCTCAGAGGGAAGGTGGAGGAGGGTGGGTGAGTGGGAGGTAATCAACCAAAGACTTTGTATGCATCTATGCATGGCCCATGGACACGGACAGGGGGCGGTGAGGGCCGGGGGG